TTTTTTTTTTTTTTTTTTTTTTTTTTTTTTTTCACTTGTTTCTGAATTACCTAACCCGGGTTGTCTTGATGTAGCAAGACACTGTGAGAACGAAGTAATCCAACTATCCAATACATTTCCAAAATTCAATAAGGTTGCATGGATTCAAGAGCTTTTATGCTCTCTGCTGAGCAGAATGTGTTACAAGTTTCCTGGGACACTGCTTAATGACCAGTAGAAGTAGAATTACTTCAAGGGGGTTATACTTTCTATTTTCTAGAGACCTCGTTTTTTGGTAAACTCTTGAATTATTTTATAATATAGTTGTGGTTTAATATTTCTCATTCCAAAAAATGTGAAGAAAAATTGTCAATTTTTATATTTATTAGCCCAACTCTTGACTTTGCCTTGTTGGCTCCTAAATACCCACAAATCACACACAAGTTGCAATTGATTTTGTCAACATACAATTCAATTAGTTGATGCTACACATCAAATTTCATATTATGCTATAGTACCCATGAGTGAGTGAGGGCCACCATCAGTACCACGTTTTTTTTAAATAGCTAGACTAATTAGCTTAGGTGATGTCCGAAAAGCACTCATACTGTTTTTCTAAAAAGAAAAATGTACGGATATTAAATACTACATCATCCATGTACCTTAACTCCGTTGAGTATCAAAGTACATTCAAGACAAAGAAAAAGATAACATTTCGGTTGTAAAGGATGGATTTTTCAACTTTTTGGAAGATATATAGACTATACAAGAAATTGAAAACTTCGCTTTCATTGAGTAAATAAAAAATGTAGTAGTTGTAAAGTATGTGTGGATTTTTCAACTTTTTAGAAGATGATATATATTATTGAGTAAAAAACATGTAATACGATGTGATATAATTGAAATATGATTATGTTTATTAAATGCGTGATCAAGATAAATTTGTGTGGATATTTATATTTTTGAAAGGATGTTTAATAAAAATATAATTTTTTTTAAGAAGTTATGATTTCTGAAAATCATAAATATTAAAAATTATTATTTTTAAAAATGATTAAAATCTGTTTGATTTGGTTGATGATAAATATTTAAAAAATATTTATATATTATAATTTGATAATCAAATATTTACAATATTTTCACTTTCTTTTGGGAACAATTTAGTTGAAAAGTTGTATAAAAACGTTTTTGAAAAACAAAATTTTTATCATTTAAATAATAAAGAAAATATAAGGAGAATTTCTTATGAAAGTAAAGATAAGATTCAAATATGCACTTGCTTTCGGTAGGAAACATCTTACGAAAAAATAAGGAGAATTTCTATACTACTCATCAATATTTGAAGGGTTTTGGTGTAATTATGTTATGTCATTAATTTTGATCTATGTCATTCTTTTAGATTTTAATACAAAATATTATATTTTCAATTCAGTCATTAAATAATTATATTAATTTTTACTTTTAATTTTATGGAGTAGATTCAAATTGAAGAAATTTTATCAGTCATGTGAACAAATTCTAATGAAAACACAAGGTGAAGTTGAACTCAAAATAAATTTTTAAGGCATTATCTGTTGCACATATATGTGATATTTCAAAAGGAAATAGTCTCACATTGCTTGGTCCACCTATATGTAGAGCCTTTATATATTAAAGTGTTCCCTAAGCTTCAAAAGAAGCAAGCAATGAGTAGTGGGCTGTGAGCTCATTGTAGTTCAATTTTGTTGATTTGATTACATTAAATTTTTCTTAAAATTAATTAAAGAAACCTTATCCGAGAATATGACCGTTTCTCCATTTCAAAATTCAAAGTTGATTCTGTTTATCATGTTTATCAAATTCAAAATTCAAACTTGATTCTGTTTATCAAATCTTTCTTTAATTATACAGATTTATCGGGTTAATTTCCAGGAAATTTTACTAACGTAGCTGTTCAGTTTCAATCGGTTTCTACGTTATCAAGTACCGCATTAGTTTTGATATCATTTGTTAAAAACACATAAGAGCATCTACAATGAAAGTTGCTTTGGATTAGAAAACCATGCCCTTTGATCAAAAAACTGCTTCCTTTGATTGATCAAAAAACTCCATCACGCTCCAAACTTCTTTGATAGTGAAGAATAGTAAGATTTTAATGTAAAATACCCTTTGATCGAAAATTTCGTAAAACACACTTTGAGGCTTTGATCATAAAATCATGTATAACACCTGTTGACGAAAAGTCGCATACAACACTTTTGATCGAAAAACTGCACCTTCAACAAATCCAACAATTTTAAACCGATAATTATTTTTTGAATTTAAAACATAATAAACAAAAAATCGAACATACATAATATAAAAAATTAAATAAAAATAAAAATTATTTAAAATACTGATGTGATTTTGTTAAATGACGTATATTTATTTATTTTATTAATATACGTCACAGAAGATATCAAAATTCCTTAATATTTGAGAATACAGTAGCAACTAAAAAAAAAACCAAGATGAGGCATTGGTATATGACTTAGGCCTTCTTCGATAGTTACCTCAATAAGTGACGGTTATTGAATCCATTTACTCAAAAACTACCAGCTAGCTTAGGATATGCATAGGAACTGAATAGAGTTATCAGTAATAGACCCATGTTTGGTACATATTATGTGCAAAATACATAAAACAAATTGAAATTACAGTCGGTGGGGAATAAAATGCATGCAAATAATGTACTACGCAAAAGGACAAATTAAGTCTGTTTAAGCAGTGGTGGTTTACACATGGCAATCAATTTAATAGGGATAGGGCCCATCGTACCTATAATGGAGTTGTGATTTGTGTTGTTATATGTATCACATATTTGCTTAAATAAACAATAGGTTGGCAATCACATGGCATGTTTTTATGTTTATAACCTCTCACCATTTGACTACTTATTCTATTGAGGCAACTAAACTTTGGGATTTGACCCATTTACTTCCCTTAATCTCTATCTAATTAGCTTTTTACTTTATATTATCACCATGCAAATTCCCTTCTACAGATAACTCTTACATGTATGTGATGTATCACGTGGTGAATTTCTAGGTTCATGTGGGTTTCAAAGCATCATATATATATACCAATGCATGTGAGGAATTTCTTGGCCCTTGCTCTAGGATCATGTGTGATGAGGCTAAGGCTATGTATATTTTCATTTAGGAGAGGCGTGGTAGTGTGTGGTGCTTGGACCATTCCTCCATAACTCTATCTTATGGCAATGCGCATGCAATTTTTTTCTTTCCATCACTTCTAACAAATCTCAAACATGTGATCTGGACTGGACATATCTGTATGGAAGTGTTGGATTCAAGTTACATTTTGCTATTCTCGAAATATGGAGGTAAAGATATTTATTCTCATGTTCTTATAAAAAGTTATAAGAAAGTATTTTTTAATATAATTTATTTTCAAGAATATAAAATATTTGCATCTGATATGATTTTCATTTCCATGATGAAACATGGGTATTTTATATTCTCATAAGAAATTATTATATATCAACTAAACATGTTCATGAGAATGAGATTCCTGAGTACAATATTTTCGAAAATGAGATTATAAAAATATGATACTATATCTCAAAACAAAACACCTTTAATATCAATAATTCCTGTGAACATGTTTATATGTCTGAGCAATTGAAGGGGGGCATGGAAATGTTGGTATTGGAGGATCTAATATAGAGCAAAGAGTATGTAAAAGCATGTTTGTGCATCCAAACCGGATTTGGGCCTTGTGGTCCATGATGCTGGGAAGGGTGCTTCAACCATTTACCTATAAATTGACTCCCAAAAAAGAGGTCATGAGTTTAGGGTTGGGGAGAGTTTATAATGACTGTTTTAGCTTTAGGATATATACCCGTAAAATACCTTTTGAAAAAAAAAATTATATATATATATATATGTAACTTGAATTGAGCTTTTTTATTTAAATTTGACTACAGTTATGCCTTTTCAGTAATTTCTGCACGTGATTACAGACCAACAAAAGTATGATGAAGCAAAAAATCAGGGTTAATATCAGCTATACAAAGATAAAATAAAGAAATCAAGAAAAATCAAAGTGAATAAAATGTAGGCAATATTATATATATATATATATATATATATTTGTGTGTGTGTGTATGAGTGTGATTGAAGGTTAAAATTAAACTCCACAATTTATTTTACATGGATATATATGTACTTTATTATAATTTTGTACGGAAAAAATATGTGACATTTTTTAAAAATATTAAAAAAATGTTATTGTTTCTACTTAATGGACATGAATAATTAATAAACAATTACAAAGAATATGTTTTAATCTGTGCAAAATCACGACATAATGAAAATATCCATGTTTGCAAAAGTTATAGGAGCTCAAAATTTTAAAAAAGAATAATAATTACAAAAATATAAAGAAGACATTGACATGTGCGGATTTCTTTTGTATCTTATATTTTTAAGATGACTAAAATTATTACAATAAAAAATTAAGAAATATTTACTAAGGATGTGTTTAATTAATAATTAATACCATGGAAAACCACAACAAAGTGAAATTTTGAGAATAATTTCTACTTTTACATTTTCAATACATCATATTACGATCCTGGGAGAAACTGGCATTTACTATTTCAAATGTTTGTCTCATTCTTATATGGACGACTATGTACGTCCCTCTCACTTCATTTATGTGTCTATAAAGGATTTAAGATAACATTGAGTGAATTTGTTTTTGTTGTGACTCATCCCAATTGTATAGTGAAATTTAGAAAATAAACTATAAACTAAAATAATAATCAGTGATTGAAAACGATTAAAATTATACTAAAATACATGTATATATTAAATTTATTAGTTACTAAATTTCTTAAGTTGCCTATTAATCAGTGATTGAGAACGATTAAAATTATATTAAAATACGTGTTTATTAAATTTATTAGTTACTAAATTTCTTAAGTTACCTATTCGGATTCTCTTAAAGATTAATTGAATTATTTTCTCAAATTTGAATTTAGAAATGGTTATAGAAAGCTTATGTGATGAACCTATACTTAACTTATTTTATATTAAATAAATTGATCGTAAATTTGTAACTTTCAATGAAAATGTTTAAATCCAGTTAAATTTATTATCCCAATTAATTATATATTTATATAATACTCCCTCCGTTCCTATATATATAAGAAATATAGGACAAAAAAATCACAAAAAAACTAAGAAAATGTCATTTGAACTATTAATTGTAATTAATATATCCTAAATTTAAATTTTATTACTAAAATATTCATACAATTAAATGCTTTAAGAAACTAATAAAAAAAATTGGTCAGTGTTTCTCTCTTAATAAATTGGAGATATAAAAAGAATCTATTAATTAATACAAATAAAAATATGACTATGTTTTTTATATCTAAGAACAAACAAAATTATACTTTTATTTCTTATATAGGAACGGTGGTAGTATAATTTTATAATATAAAATTGTCAATATACTTTTTAGTGGGAGAGTGCACTAGATCACTTCCCATACCAAACAGATAATGGATTAAATAAAATATCTTAATCATACAGTTATATATACAACTGAGTGATAGATATAATAGGTTATACAAAACAACTGGCAGCCTACTACATCAATACTACAAATAATAAGCTCCCTTGATGCTTCTCATCCAAAAGATTGTTGATTGTCTCGGCTCAACACCTACTCCGGATTTGCTCCTATACTAAGGTATGGTCATCACAGTCTCAACCACAAGAAAAAACATGCTAGAGTAAGCTCACAATAATAAACATCACTAAACAACATCAATATACAATTAAGCAACAATAGAATTCAACTTTTTAAAACTTTCATCTATAAAACAACACAAACAACTATAGAACATCATAATAACATCCACACAACATCATATGCAACATCAAGTAATGCATCGTCACACATATACAACTAGAAGATCCCCAACAATTGAGGTTGAGTAGTCTAAGAGGCATAAACCCTATCGAATCCAGCTTTAGACCCATCTCAATCATATCAGGTATAGGACATTGTTGGATGTGCAATTCTTCAAAAAGAAGAAGCAAGCAAGGTGAGTGCACTAGTCACAAGGAGGTTTCCTTGTTGGAAGTGATTAAGGAGAATGATTATCCAATTAGAATCTTGAGAGAGAAAAGAGAGGATTCTGAATATAGAATACGCATACAACTCAAAAGTGGACGAATACACTTGTTAGGACCCTTAAATAGATTTAGGTAGCTTATGGGAAAAGTTAGGCTAACCATGGGTTCAAAATGAACCATGGTCTCCTAGTCACGGTGCTAGGCGCGCCAATTTGAATTTGAATTTCAAATTGGTGCGTGAATTTAGTTAGACCATGTGCTCTCATGTGCAACTAGATCTAAGAGGTTTAAACAATACATTTGGATGTCATTTGAACTACATTATAGTTTTAATTTGGCTAACCTATGTGGGCCTCGCATTGCCAACCACATGGTGTCAAATTAAAACCTAATGTGGTTTAAATGACATGAAATGCATAGTTAACCTTAAGGCCCATTATGCAAGAGAACATAGGCTACTTGGTCCAAAAATATAAGGCCCAAAATATAAGACCAAAGAAATACAAGTCCAATCAAGATTCAAAGTCCAATACTACAAGGCCTATAATACAAACCTAAAATAAAGAGAAGTATTGGGTTTTAAGTAATAGCCTAATTCAAAAAAAAAACTTAGGCACACTAACCTCAACACAGACCCAATCTTCCTACATCCTCCTAACCATGACTCTAGTGGTGGATCCCTTGCCTAAGCCTCCACCATTAATAGAGGGCTAAAATTTAAACTATAGAGATTAAAAAAAATTGAAAAAAATAAGTATGAAAACTAAAAAAATTTACTTTTAATTATAAGAACTAAAAAGTAAAGTAAATAAAATTATAGGAATTAAAAAATTATTTTAACCTAAAATTATAAATTTATTAATATACAAACTAAAATATCAAGAGAAATTCTACCATATCCTTATAAACTTAAAGAGTTATAAAACTATTGATTTTTTTTTATGCTTAAGAAAAAAGAGACGATCAATACCTCTTAATATTTATTAAAAAATAGTAAAGTGTGTGGTTATTAAAAGTGAATGATAATTAATAAAAAAAAATATTATTTTTTAATAATAAAAAGGTACAATAATTTATCAATTGTGGAAGTCAAAAATAATTACTAAAAAGAGTATTTCTTTATATATTAATATAAATATACTACATGAATGTTTGTCTTTTAATACGTTTATTTTTTTAATTTAAATATATATATATATATTTTAATTCTTAATATATATGTAAAATCTTTAAATTTAATAAAGATATTTTTTATGATATTATTAACCATAATTCATTGTAAATTTTAACATCGTAATTTGTAATAAGAAAGTGCATCGCTTGAAAAAAAATTACTCCCTCCGTTTTTTTTTCATAGTCGTTTTGTCAGAGTTTGTTGTTTTTTTTTCATTGTCATATTACTAAAATCAATGAGTTATTAATTTTTTTCTTCCATTTTTACCTTTGATAATTAATACATGTTTCCTGAAAAATGTGTGTATTTATTTTTAATATCTACCTAATTTTTCTCTAACTACTCATATAAAGTTAATGTGCATTTATAAGAGCAATATGTTGCCAATAAAATACTATAAAAAAACAAAAAAAAAATGACAACTATTTAATGGAGTAGTTCAACAGTCTAAAAAATACAAAAAAAAAGAAGGGTAAAATAGGAAAGTAAGTAATAAATATTTTTGAAAACTAAAATATCAATGATTTTCTTAATTCCCGTGCAAAACCTTAAACGACTATGAAAAAATAAACTGAGAGAGCTTTTATCCCTAAAAGACATTAATGAGGTGGGAATGAAGGATGGTTAGAGTAGCGGTCATTCCAATTTTTCAACACGTCCATCATCTGTCGGGAATAGACATTCGTTTTATTTTTCCACTCCTCATTAATAAAAGGGTATGAAAATCAAAGGCAAAGTGATACAAATTCAAGGCATTTAGAAACAGAATAATTTTACATAAAATAAGAGAAGAATATTCTCTCTTTTTTTAATAGTCGTTTTGTTAAATTTGTTTTTTTTTTTTCATTATAACTTTTCTAAAATTAATAACTTATTAATTTTTATTTTTTTTATCTTTGATAATTAATGCATATTTATTAAATAATGTATCTATTCATTTTTTAATGTACTTATTTCTTCTCCAACTATCTAAAATATATAACAAGAAAATATATAATAAATATTTTTAAAAAAATATATATTATTTTAATTATTATGCACAATAAAAAATAAAAAAATAAAAAAAACTAGAAGGATTATGCAATAAGAAAATGAAAAGGAGTTGAGTTTGACATTGGGCGGTTGCATGAGCAAAAAGAGGTTAGTACGTGGACCATCAAAATTTGTGACACAAAGAAGCTTGTAGATAGTCAAACACTCAACTTCCAACCACCCACTGTGCCACCATTATTATTTACACTAACCGTCCTTCTCGGACCATTTTTCTCTAAAATAAGATACTATTAAACAAAATAAAATTAATTAAAATTTCTTTATATTCAAAACAATAAACATGTTAAATGGAGTTATATATATATTGCATTTAAGAGAATATCTGTAGTACTATGATATCTCACATTCGAGAAAACAGATCATTTTCACACTTGTACACGAGTCATTAATACACAAGTACCAAATATCTCACCTTTGTTTGCTTTCTAGTGTTAACTTTTTATGTTATGTAATATAAGCCCTTCCCCATTCTCTGACTTGAAAATGGCCTTCGCAAGTGTCATAGCTCTTGTTGCATTTCTTCTTCTGCAACCTCTTTCATCTAAATCTGACTTCCTTTCCCCTCTGCTTGCTCCCATCTTTGGTTTGTAACCATTTCTTCAATAATCTCTTTTGCTGCTTACTATCTGTTTGTTGATTTTCATTTCCCGGCTTGGGATTTGGATGGATCTCTCTTGTTCTTGAATAACAAGATGGTGATAGATATGGTCCTTGCATGCAAAAATATTGTGTATTTTTATGTCCATGTCTTGTTGATCCAAATCCTTCATAAAAGGGTGTTCTCAATTTTTTTTTTTTTTTTTGACAGCTTGGGAATTCTGAGTTGCTTTAACATGATGTATATTCTTTGTTTTCATGTTAAATGGGTTCAGATAATGTTTGCAAGGAAGTGGAATGTGGAAAAGGAACATGCAAACCTTCTAATAACAGCTCTTTCTTCTTTGAATGCGAGTGTGATCCGGGTTGGAAGCAAGCTCTTTCCAATGAGACGGACTTGAAGTTTCTTCCTTGCATAGTTCCCAATTGTAAGATAAGAAAACAACTCTCTTATGTTCAATATTATTGTGTTGTTCTCTATTGTTTTAATATTGACACTACCTCTCATAGGAAAAATATTTGATGATTGTGATTTTAAACCAATAGGAGATAAAGTGTCAGAATGTGTGTCGCCAACATTTCTCGTGGTAACATAGCAGAACATGGTTATTTTGCAAAGAACAAGTTGCTATGTAGTTTGTTCACTTTTTGGTGTCTAGTTTGGGTGCATGTGGTTGGAAACGTATGTTGTGTTTGACTTTGTAACAAGAAAAAGGGTAGGGAGATAACTTGGTGGAAATTTCACCAAGAAGAATACATCTTGCTTGAGGGGTAGCGATTTTCTTCATACACTAGGATCCTATCAGTGTTGTTCCTGACTAATATGTTGAAGAAATATGAACACAAAATATTAACTTTTTTTGAGTATTAAATGAAAAAAAAAATATATGCATTTGTTTTGAAAAGATAAAAGCAATCAAAACTATCTGAAGATTTTGAATTATTCTTTTTATAATGGTCCAGTCCACTGTCGCATAATTTCCAAGATGATTAATCTTAAATTTGCAAGAGTGTAATGTAATCCCATTCTAAAGTTGTGGGAGTAGAGGTTTACTATAATATGATAATCTGTTCGAAATTTTCATTAGCTTTGAGATAAAATTAAGTACAAATGCAAAATTGTAATAGACTAATCCAACACAACTGAACCTTCCATGCAATGCTTGTGGCAAATTGTTTCAGACTATAATTTTTGTTTATACGTTTAGCAAGTGCCAAATGGAACTCTAAAACTTACTAATGAATTATAAATGAGAACAGTGATGTTTCTGTTGCAGGTGCATCGAGTTTAGCCATTAGCTTATATAATAAACATAGACAGTCACTATTGTATTAAGATTTCACTTATGATTGAATGGTGTTTGAGTTTTCTTTGTGACTATTAAAAGTACAAAGAATGCTAGCAACAGACTTGACCCCTGACACACTTTCTAATATAGTCTCTTACTGGGTCTAACTAATTTAGAGTGTTACTAGTATTTCTCTCGAAAGTATTTCATTTTCTCACATGTTGAAACATTTGCATGAAATTCTCTGTAGGTACACTGGACTACTCTTGCTCCAAAGCCCCTGCCCCTGTTCAAGATAAGACACCGAAATCCAATGAGTCAATTTTTGATGGTAATTGAAAGATATAACTATATGGATCTCATATTTCAATGTGATGTTTTTTGGAGATAGCATAGCAATTTGTTGGTGCCTTATTGTTGTAGCTTGCCATTGGGTTGATTGTGGAGGTGGCTCATGCAACAAGACATCCATCTTCTCCTATAATTGTGAATGTGATGCTGGCTATTACAATCTCCTAAATGTCACTGCCTTCCCTTGCTTCATGGAATGTAAGATTAAAAACCTCACATATAGTTAGTGCCATTTGTTTTAAGGGAATCATATGTTCTGTGGTTGATGTTGATGCGGAAAAATGTTTTGATCTATGGGCTTATTCAAGTAAACTTCTCTAGAAGCACTTTTAAGAAGAAAAAAAAAATAGGAAGAAAAATTGAAATACACTTCTCCATAAGTTAGTTTATGCATAAGTTAAAATAAGATTTTGGAAAAGCTAACGAGAATTCTACAAATTAACTTATGTATAAGTTAATTTTACATTATGAAGAAACTTATTTCATTTTTTTTCCTAAAAGTACTAGAAAAGTCCAACCAAATAGGTTTATGTCTCATTGTAAGTAGTTGAAGATAACTTACTTGAGATTTGAAATTTCTGTTCAAGGTTCTATTGGCATGGGTTGTTCTGAACTTGGAATATCAATCAAAAACTCATCTACTTCTGCACCACCAGCATTGAATGACAACAGTAAAAATGAGGGTAAGGCCACAACTGAATGACTAATTCAGCATTTGGTTTTTCCGTACCTTGCTTATCAAACAGAAGTTTTGTTTGTTGTATAAGTTGGTCTTCATTGAGACCATGCATGTGTTGTTTTTTTTCTAAAATCACAAGAGAAACTGAACTTTGATTCAATTAATAGACCTACCTTAAACAGTTGAAAAGTCAGACTTTCTTTATTCTTTTGCCATGAATATGGTCCTATTGTTATCAAAATTGCAATTAAAACTGTTTTCCTAACTTGGTCAGAAATTAATTTGTCAAGCTATATATTGTAAGAGTAAATAGTACATGCACAAAACGATTTCCAAACTAGCATTCAATCTATCAAAGGGGTCTAGCTTATTTTGTTGTGCATTATGCATGAATTGTTATAAACTTCTTGGTATCAAGTCTGATTTTCACATATCAAAAGATAAAACTAGCATTTAATTATAATCTGTCATATATCATAATTCCGTTGACTTTTTCAATAATTATTTTTTGTTATTTAATATTTTGACTTTTATCAGGTAGCTCAATTTTACGAGGAAGTTCACTTTGGCTGGTCATGCTAGTTATGTTCATGACAATGCTCCAATTGCAATAGGATAATTGCAGGATGATTTTAGCAGTACTTCATTAATTCTATGCTATTAATTTCATGAGGACTGATGAGTGATGACCATATGAATAAGGCATCACATCAGGGTTTAATACATTACAGTTTTAGTTATGTATATCTAGTACACGATTTGTCTTCTTTTTTTTTCTTTCTATTCTCTTAACACAATTATTCCAGAGTATATTAATGTGATGAGATTGTTGTGAGTCTTGCAACATTTTGTGGCCCCCAGTATCACGAATTTTTTTGTATGGTTTTATTTTCTTGCAACTTGCGTAGGTGATAGCATTTTTCTACGAGGGATTAATGTAAATGGAGCCCAAGAAGGAAAAATGGAAGAGTTGTTCATTTTCTGAGAAATATTTCACTTTAGCTCATAAATATATTTTATAATAATCAGATAGTAGTTTTTAATAATAAAAAGTCTAAAATAATTAAGTTTACTTCTTTGACTTTGAAACTGGAACTATTGTTACTCCTAAAAAAATAGGGTACTAATTTCTTCGTATTTGAAAGAAAAAATTGTTCTTATTCATTTGTATATCTATATTTATAAATTTCAGATAATATTAATTACTGTTTCGAGTAAATAGTCTAATGTTAAAGAGTATTTAGACTATCATTTGATTACAATTGTATTGCATATTAAGTTTTGATTCTTATACTAATTACTTTTAAAGTTATTTATCATAAAAAATAAAATTAATCAAACTATATATTTTTAATTATGTTCTTTGTACATTATTCTTAAATACTTTAACCTGATATAATAAACAAGGAAATAATAGTCATCATATTAAAATACAAAATAATTTTGGTATAAATTAAGACATCAACTCATACATATTAAATACGAATGATTATTTTATATGAAAGTGTTCTTAAGATTTTTTTTTTCTGAATGAGAGGAATTTTATGATTTTTTAAATTTTTTATGTAATTTAATTTTTATTTATCATAATTATTTATAAATAAATTTTTATATATTAAATATTAAATATGAATGACTCCTTCGTGATTTTCAAAAAAAAAATTTCAACAAGAAATCTTTTAAGGATTTTTTTTAAATTTTTTTATCTAATTTAAAAATAATCTTATACTATAATATAAGTTATTTATCATAAATTTAAAATATAATCTATATGTTTAAAAATATCTATTAAATTTTAAATATAACTTATATATTTAAATATAATGTTTATTTGAATATATAATTTATTATAAATTTTAGTTATATATAATAAATATTTAATATACAAACTAAAATACTAATTAGTTATATTGCAATTTGTTTATGGTTCTCTATGTAAATGAAAAAAAAAATGGAGTTTAGGTGTGGAAATAAGTTAAATCATTTATTAACACATGATGTCTTTAAGTAGTTTGTGTTGGACTTAAGTTAGATCTTACTTATTTTATTTTATTTATTAAATAAGTATTAAGACATTTTTTATAATAAAAAGAAGACTCTTGATATATACATTTTAGTAATAAATACACCCTTTTTCCAAGCACTTCATCTCCTTTCATACACACATTCCTCCTTCTTCCATGCATGTAAAAGGGGATAGAATGAAAAAAAAAAATGATAATTTGTGCATGGCTAGTTGAATTTTTTTTTTTTTTTTTTGCAAATTACTTCTGCCTATAACATTTTCAATGGACAATGGAGGACAGAAGTAATCCATTGAATTAAAAAAAAAATTCATACTTTTTGAGAAAGTTATTTAAAAGTTTGTTTTTAGTATTCCATAAACTACTTTTCAAAATAGTAAAAATTAATATTCTGAAAATTATTTTTTATAAGTGTATTTTTTTTACATAATTTTAGAAAGTTCTTTTTGAAATAGTAAAATTAGTGTTCAAGAAAATATTTTCTAAAATAGTAAAATTAGTATTCTAAAAAGTACTTTCTAGAAGTGTTTTTCTTTACATGATTTCAGAGAGCTCTTTCCAAAATCATAAAATTAGTGTTTTAGGAAAGCATTTTCCGAAAGTATTTTTTTTACATAATTCTGAAAAATTATTTACAAAATAATAAATTTAGTGTTCTAAAAAAGTATTTTGTGAAAGTAAATATAAATTTTTTTGGAAAGTACTTTCTAAAATATGAATTTCGTTATTTCAATAAATACTTTCTAAAACACTAAAATTAATATTTTGAAAAATATTTTTTGGAACACTAAATTTAATGTTGTATTTTTTTTGTAACATCTCATTTTTCATGAAAGCTAATATAAATATTTTATTAGTAATTTTGGTATTTTTATTTTATTAATAAGGAATATTTACTATTTATTTTAGAATATATTATATGATATTTTATTAAAAAGGAAAAGGATTTATAACTATGATTAATATGTTTTAATTAGGGGGTTAAAGAGAGTTAGTTTTGTTTTTAAAGAAGAATTTTCTGATGAAACCCTTTTACGCCTCTATTTTCATGTATACACTTCAATGTTAGGAGAACAAGAGTAAGAAAGAAATCACCCAAAGTCATGCACCTGTCATTTATAGCTTATCTAGGTAAGAGGAGAGTAAGAAATTTTGCTCTAGATGTGGATTTATATGTCAGGTAGGGGGATTACCCCAATCCTATATATGTTTTGTGCCTATGTATGAGGGATTTCTGGTAATGTGTTCTATTTTGCTCCTTATTATTCTCACTCATAATTGATGCCATGAATTGTCAAAATGTATGATTAATTTTATGTTTTTAGACTAATTGTATGATTTGAGGTCTCTGTGGATTCCTATGGAAAATCCTAAGGGAATTTGGTGTAATTTTGAGGAAAGATATTAGTTGTATATGTGAATTAGATGATATTGGGCATTAGTCTAATTGTTATAGAACATGTTTACCAATTGAATGATAAGTTTTGGTGAATTGATGTGTGAGTCAAAATTTTGTGTTTTTGTTATGCGTGTTATTTTTGATACATCACTAGGTGCCACTTGGGGCATGCCAGACATCATCGAAGATGAGAGAAAATTTTTCTCTTGGGGCCTCTCATGTGGGGTGTGGGATGACCCTTGCCGAAGGCAAAAACTCCAAGGGTTCCTTGTGACATTTTCGTTGAGCGTGAGCTGAATCACACTAGGCATGGACACTCCAAAGAGTTCTTGGTGGTGTTCTTATCGAGCATGGGCTCAGTCACGTTGGGTATGGTCTAGAAATAGATTAATGTGGTCCTCTGAAGGTATCGCAGTGGGCACGAGAAGTGTGTCGTTGGACACCATTCTGCATGTGATTCTTCTATTGTTCTTTTATTTAAGCCAATGATTGTAACTCTTGTAATGTGATGTTGAGTTGGATATGAATTGATCTCTATTGATGAATATGTGAAAGTGTATAATGAGTATGGAATCATGTGAATGCAACGCATAGAGACTGTTTTCCATGCATCATATGCATAAAAATATTTTTATAAGGATATGATATGGAATATACCATCAGAGAAGATTCCTTGTGTAAAATCTTGAAAATCAACCTTGGGGATAGCTTAGTTTAAAAGTATCAATCTTGCCCTCGTGAGCATGGGATGTATCTTTTGTAGCTTAGCTATCCCAACCAGACCCTAGTAGTATGTCCTTTTAGTGAAAGTGTACAGAGGATATGATCCGACATATACTCCTAGACTATTTTAGTGTATTGTTAGGGACAATACACGTGTGGTATTTTTACTGATGTCACTTGCATGATAACATGTAGTTCATGTTCATTGCATATGCATCATGAACTTATCTATTGTTGTTTGTTATGTTATGAATGAATTAGGTATGATGATAATGTGTAACTGTGTATGTTATTTCTTATTGTATGAGTTATTTTTGTTTAGCTAGCCAGTTTGCATTCCTACACCATGAGCTATAGTGAGATATTTCTCATTCCTTTTTCTTTTGTGTTATTTTCTTATGGTTGTTGCATGTGATCATTAACATGGTGCTGAGCATGTTGGTGATGAGACCTAGTCCTCATTGTTGAATTTTGCTCCAGTAGGACACGTGACACTGGGGATTAGTTAGGATTTGATTTATATTATTTAAATTGAGTAGTTGATTTTACTTTTTTTGTAATTTATTATTTTCGCTAAGTTTAGTTTATGTTAAAATGTGATTCTTTCTATCTATATGGATTTTGAGTTTATTTATTATATTGAGGTTATTCAGTTTTATATTATATTATATTATATGTTATGGTATGCAGGGTAGAGGACGTTACATTTTTCGGGAGTATGTCCATAGAGCAAGCTAGAAACAGCGAGAACACGTGAATGTCAAGGAAGGAAAAGGAAGGGAACGTGTGTGAAAGGGGAGGAAGTACTTGGAGAAAAAACATGCATATGACTCAACACATTTAACATTGTCGAGAAAGTTGCACGTGCCTACAATACTATTTTGCACCAGTTCTCTAATCGGGATGCGTGTGAAAATTGAAAGAATGGAGAGGGTAACATTGTGAAAACTGAAAGGGGTAAGAGGATAATGTAAAAAAGCGAAAGAATTAAAGCTACCTACTTAACGAGATGCATGTAAAAACTGGGAAAAAAATGTGTAAAAAATAAGAAGAAAGTACTAAATTGAACAACGGAGATGTAAAAAAAATTTTAAAAAAATTAAGAGTATTTTAAAAATTTGCATTTTTAAAAAAGAAAAGGTGGTATATTTATAAATAATAATAATAATAATAATAATAAAATTAAAAAAAAATCCATATCAATTTAACTAAATATAGATCCAATTAAAGGCTAGTTGATAAGTTTTTTAAACCTATTAATCCGATTTATTTAAGAAAACAAATAATATTATAATTAGATATTATGTCAACATAATAATAATAATAATAATAATAATATTATTATTATAATGTACAAAATATTCAAAAGGAAAATATTATCAATCAAGATATTAAATAGATATTTATACTTATACAACATATTTATATAACATAATTTTTGTATTTATCTCTCAATCACATTTTATTACATTCATTAATGATGAAGAGTTAGACATGAAAAATATTAAACAAATTATTGAATGAATTGTTGTCATTACTCAATAATGTATTAAATATTATATATGTTTTGGTCTTTTTTAAAGGCTTAAATAAGAATGACATACATTGAAGTTTAGAATCGATCATCCATCTAAAGGCTTTACGACGAATTGACAAATTTATACTCTACGATATTTTTTTAAATAAGTATTTAAGATGAA